TTTTTCTGCCTCGCAATCCATGAATTAACCCTAAATATTTTATCCATCTCTCTTGATAATTCCTCAGATTCACATCCCAGAATAGGAGCTATAGCCTTTGCCACCTCCTCTTTCAAATCTTCTCGTGAATCCTTTAATCCTCTTATTCGCAATGCAAATTCCATATCTCTATATTGTGAGATGGTAACTTCATCCTCTGTTATATCAATCTTATTTTCAACTTTAACAACTCTGCTTTCTAGTTTTTCAGTATTTTCCACAACTTCATCCACCCAGTCATCCAAACATTCAATATGTGTAGCTAACCCTTGAAGTGCAAGCAATATATCTTCCCTCATTTCTCTATTTTTATTCTCAAGAAGGTCAGCCATCTCATCCTTCATTTTACTATCAAGGAGATCAGCCATCTCCTCCTTTATTTCTTGTGTTGCTAGCTTTAAAGCATCTTGAATATCTTTAAGCGTAAATGCAGGTGGTGGGGGAGAAGGTGGGGGGGATCTAGGTTTAGATTGCANATGTTGGCTTTTAGTAATGACTTTGTTTGCCTCTAGGTGTTCGTTGATTCATTGTTTGATTATCTTTTCCAGGATCTTCCCAGGTATTGAGGTCAGGCTGATAGGTCTGTAATTTCCTGGGTCCATTTTTTTCCCTTTTTTGAAGATGGGAACTACATCAGCTCTTTTCCAGTCCTCTGGTAGTTCCCCTGTGCTCCAGTATACTTTTGCTTAATATGGAACACTCCCATTCTTTTATTTCTTCAATAGAGAAAATGAATCATTTGTTCTACCATAATATGTCATAACAAAGAGTGCAATTTTAAACTAATTTATAGGTTTTCTGGGCTTATAAATAATGTATTAAGAGAAAAGCCACTGAGGCCCATTATAACTATGAAAAGGATTTTTTTATTTTCTACATAGCTGATAATACACCATCAATATATAAGGCTAATTTAGATTGATAGAAGGTGTAAACAAATGTTAATTAGACGATTCTTTATAAAAATAGTAAGAAATGTATATTTATAAAAATGTAAGAAATAACAATAAAGGTAAAAAACTAAATTGTTAGTCTACAAACTTCCTAAACTATAATTTCCTTTAACTTATTTGTTGAACAAAATCTATGGTTTGGTTTCATGTAGCAGCCCAAAGGAAATTATGGCTAACTGTGATGCATTAATCTTTAGGGCATATGCTAAATCTAGATATTGGAGATTGCTAATTTGGATATCACTAGTTATCTTTCATGAATCTGTATAATTTGTATCATTGCATCTTGCATTAGTGGTTCATACCTTTTTTATGTATTACTTTTAACAGAAATCATTCCATCACAATAAGATGGTAATATGTATCTAAAAAGATACAGGAATGATTAACAATACAAAGCAACGTACCCCCACTCCAAAAGTTAACTTTCACAACTGTGTAATTGGTCAGTAGAGAAACAGAATGCAGAACTAAATCTTAACTAGCGTGTATTTTGGATATAACTGCTGGCCAGAAGGAGCTATAATAAAGGAATCAACATCATCAGAGGAGTGATGGAAATTCTAGCACAGAGGTGGGGAACAAGGGCCCCTTTATGACTTGGCTGTCTTAAAAGTTCTGGAAGCTGAAATCCACAAGTCATAAAAGGGCCATCATTCCCTACCTCTGTTCTAGCACAATCACATTTCTGCACGTTAAGAAAAGAAAGATAAGAATAGAGAGAAGCAGCTATGACTAAAGTTGTGGGATGATTTCAACTGAGGAAAAGCAAACAAGCAAGAAAAGGAGGCAATCATAGTAAGCAATGCTTTGTAAATTACATGCTAGGTTACAGTGGCATGTTTAATTTTAAATTTTAAGGTAAATCATTAGAATTATAAGATTTCCTAATATCTTGTGGGAAATCAGCTCCCCAGAGAAAGAAATATTAAAGAAGCAGAAAAGCATGCCCAGTTTTCCTTGACAGCCCTAGGATTCCCTCCCCCAAGCAGAAGCCAGCTCTGTACAAATGCAAATGTAAACCATCAGGAAGGCCCCAGCTAGGAGATCAAGAAGACAAAGACACCTAAAATCTACATACCTCACCCAAACTCTAAGAGTCATTAGCCCCAGTTCCAGGGAAGCAGGATATGACCTTTGGGACATAATAGGATTAATCTATCACCATCAGAATACCAGAAAAGCACACTCAGACTCAGGTCAAAGTTCATGCCACAGGAACAGGAACAACTCCACAAACAAAAGGCTCCAGGGGGTATAAAAACCCACTCCCTACATGTGTTTGCTCTCTTTCCTGCCAGAACCATCTTTCTGTCTGGCTCTCCTCTTCAATAAACTGCAACCTTCTGGCTTCCGGTTCCGGGTCGCAATGCTGCGGTCGTGCAGAGAGGTTTCTCTCTTTGCTGGCCGAGTTTCCCCCGCCGGTAGACCCTTGATTGGGTCAAAAGTTGCCCTGGAGGGGCGACCACCATTGAGGAGGCTGCCTGTTTGACTGCAGAGGGGCAGCGCCACCCTCTGCTGTCCAAGCGAGCTCCTTTGGGCCAACGGAGTAAAGATCGGTCAGTAAAATGGCCGATCACTTAGCTGCACCAGCCCTAAGCCACAAGAACATCTAAGCGAAATAGAACCACTGTGGAAGATTTGGTGAGACCTTTCCTTGCCTCTCCCTTTCCTATTTATTCCTGTGAAAATCCTTTGGAATTATTTCCCTATCTTTTTAAAGTGGCTTTGTTGATGGGGGAAGGAAAGCCTTGGAACAAAAGAAAAATTAATTTTAACTTTTTCAATGGTTGATTTTATTTTTGAATATTTGGGAGTCCTAAAATCCTTGTTAGAGAAACTTAATATGCTAGCAACTTGGAGGATTTTTTTTTATTTTCTACTATTTTTATAACTAGAGAAAAGAGGGAAAAAGGGAAAAGAGGGAAGAAATTATTTTTATTGGGGGTCTGGAAAGACTGAACAACTGGTTAATTCTCTGGGGACATCCTGTGATGAAATTATTTACTGCAATTGTTATTCCTCTTTTTTGGACTCTGAGTCTGACTTTGACCTTCAAATTATCTCAAAAGGGAAAGATAAAGAAGCTGTATAGTTGGGTGGAAGCGGATATTGACTGATTGTTATTAAATACAGCCTCCACCAAAAGAATAATGGCTTTATATACTACTGAAATGGAGGAACTCTGTCCAGATTTCAATTACAAGTATATATTGGACAAAATTCTTGAAAATACTGAACAAATAATTGCCTATACAAAAGAGATTATTTTTCAATGACAAATTAAAGCGCAAGGTGTAAGTGAGCACTTTGTATGCCAAGAAACAACAGAAGGGGTATATACCAAGAGACCTGTCTTCAACCCTATTCACAATTTACTGAGATGGAGGAATTAAACTTACATCAGGACTACCAACCTACACCGGAAAAAACTTTTGATGCTAATGAACAAATGACTCTTAGCACGGAAACTAAGGATGTTACCCCAGAAGGGCAGGCTGATCTCCAGACTCCAATTGATTACCTGACAGATAAAAAACCAATAGGAGGGTAAAATAATATTAAAGAAGACTCTACATTATTTTATAGACAATCTATTGAGACTTTGAATGATTAAAAAATGATTGTAATTAAACTAGATGCAACTTCTAAAAAGATGAAGATGGATGTTCAACCACGAGCTATTGAGAATTGCTATAACTTTTTCACTAGCCTATCAAAATGGACAATGGGAGATTCTCTCAATTTATGTGTTATGGCAAGAAATGGAGGGAGTTTTATTTGTGGACTTAGAGGCCTTACTATGGAAACCCGTTTGGAACAGAAAAAAAGCTAGAATAAGATATACTGTAAATATGGAATTTAAGATTACATTTATGGGTTGCAACGGCTTTATAGAGATGTGGATTGATTTGGATTTGGATTTTTAAAAGGTGTTTTTTAGGATAAGATTTAGAATTTAATATTGAAATATAGTAAGAATATATCTTTTGGAATAATAGATCTTCCTTCTTTTCTCTTTCTTTTTCTTGGTCTCTTTTTGTTTCTTTCTATTATTTTTTTTCTATTTTTCCTATGCTTTTTTCTCTTATTAGATATGATAGTTAATTTGTGGAGCTATAATGATAAAAAGATTGTAATGATGGAAGAGATGAAATTAATAAATGAAGAATTACTGAATAAGAAATAAAATATAGTTGAGAAATGTAAGAATGTAATTATGGAAATAATATACTTAAATAAATTATGGACACCCGAATTGTAAATAATATTTTTGTTTAAGGCTAAATTAGATATGGTATTTGGAAATTAATAAACCTAAAAACAGGGTTTGATTTACATCGATGAAAGGTTGTTGATAATTTCTATTGATTAGCTGAATTCTTATTTAGGAATGTATTAATGAATTAATTTTACCTAGAAATGTATTAGTTTGACTATACTATTCTAATTGTTAGAGAGGGAAATTTTAAGGAGCATTATTTGAGCTATATATGTATGATGTTATTGTACCTAACTGATTACCCTATCTCCACGTTGTTTCTTAAGCTTTCTGGTGTAAAAAGGGAAAAATCAATAAAATTGTTTGGAGAAAAAAAAAAACTGCAACCTTCTTTCTAAAGCAGTCGCCATGTTGTTTATCCCCGGCTTGGCTGAACCATGATGAAGATTTTTCCTTCAACAATCTTTTATTAAGTAAAATTGTCTTTTGCTGGCAATGCAAGCAGCAGAAGACATAAAAGTACATTAAAGAATTTACTAGTAGTTTATTCTGACATGCTCAGAATTTATTGGTATCATATTTGCCTTAACAACTACTTATTTGTTTTGCTTTTTTAAATAAATAATTAGAGAGCCCAGTTTAAAAAATGATACGTCACCTGGTGTAAATATTAAGTGGAACATTTCTTCAAGGTCTGGATCATGTATCCATTCCTCAGCACTGGTCTACTAATTGAAGAAATAAGCTAACAACATTTTAAGCAGATCAAACTTGTCAATGTATGTGTGAGTGAATCCTGAATTTTACCACCCTTGGTAGATAGGAGAATTCTTCATTAATCCCTCATTGGTGCCCAGATTTCCTTCAGACAGTATGTTTAAAGTTTCATCTGTCTGATAGATGGGCTCTGTTGATGTTTTCTTTGAGTCATGGAAATTCACTGAGTTTCCGCTTGGCAAAGCATAGCCATTTCCAGCCGCAGTTGAGGTGGAGAGAGAATCCCATGGAATTGGGCTTTTCTGCCACTGCAAGTCCAGATTCCAGCCAGTCCAGCCATAAAAAGCCAATGTGAAAAGAAAGCCTTGCATGGGGTTCAGCACTCCCTAGGAAGGAAAGAACAGAGGAAGTTATTTGAGGGCCAAAGTGCAGCTTATTATACTTTTTGGTGAGGACTTAAAACAGTAAAGTTTTCTCTGCTATTATTATCTCCTATTTCAGACTAAAGAATCAGACCTCAAATTACATAGTCATCCTCTATAAAAAATTAGACAACAAAAGGCAGGAATAAAATATATCTTAAGTAATGCCAGCTAGAATAGAATAGAGCAGAGCAGAGCAGAGCAGAGCAGAGCAGAGCAGAACAGAAGCTGGAAGGAACCTTGGAGGTCTTCTAGTCCAGCCCCCTGCTCAAGCAGGAGAACATATACCATCTCAGACAAGTGACTGTCTAGTCTCTTCTTAAAAATCTCCAGTGATAGAGCGCCCACGATTTCTGGGGGCAAGCTATTCCACTGGTTAATTGTCCTCACAGTTAGGAAGTTTCTCCTTAATTCCAGGTTGCTTCTCTCTTTGATCAGTTTCCAACCATTGTTTCTTGTCCTTCCCTCTGGTGCTTTAGTGAATAATGTGACTCCCTCTTCTTTGTGGCAGCCCCTCAAATATTGGAATACTGCTATCATGTCTCCCCTATTTCTTCTTTTCTTTAGACTACTCAAACCCAAGTCCTGCAGCCGTTCTTTGTATGCTTTAGTCTCCAGGCCTTTGATCATCTTAGTTGCTCTTCTCTGAATTTTTTCCAAATTCTCAACATCTTTTTTGTGATATGGTGACCAAAATTGGCTGCAATATTCCAGGTGTGCTCTTACTAGGGTTTTATAAAGCGGTACTAATACTTTGCATGATCTTGATTCTATGCCTCTGTTTAAACAACTCAGGATTGTATTAGCTTTTTTGGTTGCTGCTGCAGACTGTTGGCTCATAGTCAAGTGTCTCCAAAATGTTTGTGTGTGATGGCTTAAGTTAAATATTTTGGACAAATTGATTTGGTGTGGAAGTATCTTTTTTTTTTAGATCTCATTGATGTCATCATTAGAAGTATGTATCTCTTCACAAATATTTAGCTAAATAGATACTTCAACATACTTTGATTTTACTTAATAATGCCAATTGTTCATAGTTTTAAAACATAATACTTTGGGTATTTTACTGACTTGTGTTTTACTTTATACAGGTAGTCCTCAACTTACAACAGTTCATTTAGTGACTATTGGAAGTTACAATGGCACTAAAAGTGACTTATGACCATTTTTCACACTTAACTGTTGCAGCATCCTTGTGGTGATATGATCAAAATTCAGATGATTGGCAGTTGACTCATATTTATGATAAAGTGTTCCAGTGTCATGTGATCACCTTTTGCAACCTCCTGACAAGCAAAGACAATGGGGAAGCCAGATTCATTAAAACAACTGTGTTACTAACTTAACAACTGCAGTGATTCACTTAATAATTGTGACAAGAAAAGTTGTAAAATGGAGGAAAACTCACTTAACAAAGGTTTTGGTAAACAACAAAAATTTTGGACTCAATTGTGATTGTAAGTCAAGGACTACCTGTAATAACAATTTAATTGTTCTCTCTTTAGGATCTTCTTTGCATTGAAAAATAAATTATAACATTTATGATATTTACACCCTTGTCATTCAATACTAATCAGCAAAAGTTCATTAAAAGTTACCAAAAGTTACATGCATTTTTTAATCTTAATCAAATAAATCAATTTCATATTTCTTTAGTTTTAATAGTTACTTAAAACTTTCTCTGAAAATACAACAAAAATTATCTTCCCATATCTTTATCTATAAACAAATCTGTAATGCCTCATCATTTTGATCTAATCAAGAAAAATCCATTAAGAACTACCAGAAACAACCAATTATAAATCTTGAATTTTAATCCCTTCAAGTAAGTAGCTCACAACTAGAAAAAAACTTTATATTTTAACTTTGATCAAATAAGCCAACTTATATTTCATTTGTTTTTGTAAATCTCTGTATTTATTCCCTTTAAATAGTATCCAAAAAACTGATATATTTTCATTTTCTCTTTCTTTTCTCCGGCAATTCTTCATGAGTGTAACACCTCTCTTTTGTTAAAGATAAAAAAAAAGTTATCCAAGTCATTCTTCTGATTTATTTGCATCCACTTTAGTTATTAAGACATCGACCAGATTCATTGGTAAATCCAGTGGGTTTTTTCTGTATCATTTTTGTAGCCTGACATTTTTAAATCCAAATTCAAAACAGCTTTATACTCAGTTGTATCCTCTTCTATCTCCTCTTTTAGAGTTATTTTTATGGTAGCAGACATTCTTATTAGAAATTTCTTTGGGCATTGTTCTCAAAGATCCTTTAATTCTTCCAAAGTTAAAATAACTTTCTCCATTCTCTTCTCCTTTAATTATAATTTTAGTTTTTTCTGGTTGCTTCTAAAGCTCAGCAACATCCTCATATATTTTAAATAAGATTTTAAACAACCTGCAGGAAGGATTCTTATAATTAATTTCAAAATCTTATTTCCAATCCATCCCTTAGTCCATTTATAACTTTCCAAAATCAATATTGTAATAACCCACCTGCTGTTTATTCCAGAATAACTTTTTAAATTCTTAAATTTCTTTTGCTGACCTATGGTATCATGTAACTTGTTGTTTTAAAGATTCTTAATATCTAACAAACAATTAGCAAGCAATTTCCTGAAGTGATTCAGAAAAGAAGTGGGAGAACCCAGCATCTGTTTAAGGGCTCCAAACCACAGGATGGGCAAAACTAACTTTGTCTAAACCTTCTAGAGCTCTAAAACCCACCAAAGACTTCTGTTTTATAGTTTTCTTGGGAACAGCCACTTTATGGAGCAATTACGGGTGGTCCCAGGTCCTCCTCTTTATCCAGAGAGGAATTTTGAGGTGCCAATCCATTTGCCAGCCTCTTATTCTACCATTAGATTGGTTGGTCCCAGGTCCTCCTCTTTATTCAAAGAGGAATAGAATATAATAGAATAGAATGGAATGGAATGGAATTAGGAATAGAGCTGGAAGGGACCTGGGAGGTCTTCTGGTCCTGCTCAAGTAGGAGAACCTATGCCATTTCTGACAGATGGCAGTCCAGTCTCTTGTTAAAAATCTCCAGTAATGGAGCGTCCACGATTTCTGGAAGCAAGCTGTTCCTATGGTTAATTGTCCTCACTGTCAGGAATTTTCTCCTTAATTCTAGGTGGGTTCTCTCTTTGATCAATTTCCAACTATTGTTTCTTGTCCTGCCCTCTGGTGCTTTGGAGAATAGTTTGACCCCTCTTCTTTGTGGCAGCCCCTCAAATACTGGAAAATTGATATCATATCACTCCTATTTCTTCTTTTCTTTAGACTAGCCAAACCCAAGTCCTGCAGCCATTCTTTGTATGTTTACGTCTCCAGGCCTTTGATCATTTTAGTTGCTCTTCTCTGAATTTTTTTCAAACTCTCAACATCTTTTTTGTGATATGGTGACCAAAATTGGCTGCAGTATTCCAGGTGTGGTCTTACTAGGGTTTTATAAAGCGGTACTAATACCTCATGTGATCTTGATTCTATGCCTCTATTTATACAATCCAGGATTGTATTGGCTTTTTTGGCTGCTGCTGCACATTGCTGGCTCATGGTTAAGTGATCATCCACTAGGACTGCAAGGTCCCTCTCACAGTTATTGTTTTTAAGCCAGGTCTTGCCCAATCTGTACTTGTACCTTTGATTTTTTCTGCCTAAATGTAAAACTTTGCTTTTCTCCACACTGAAACTCATTTTGTTGGATAGGGCCCATTGTTCAAGTATGTTAAGATCTTTTTGGATCCTGAGATTATCTTCTGGAGTGTTGGCTACTCCTGCAAATTTGATGGGTTCCCCTTCAATTCTCTCATCTAAGTCATTGATGAAGATATTGAAGAGTACTGGGCCTAAAATGGAACCTTGTGTTACCCCACTGCTTACTTCTCTCCATGTGGATGTAGTGCTGTTGAGGACTACTCTTTGAGTACAGTTTGCCAGCCAGCTACAGAGCCATCTGGTGGTGATGTTTTCTGTTGTGTCTTGGGCCTGCTGAAGCATTTCAGCAGGCCCAGAAATGTTGCAAACGGTCCCGGGCAACCAAAAAGCTGCCCGGGACCAGACTGGCTGGCGCCGGACTTGTGCGCATGCGCAAGGCGCGAAAAAAGATTCTTCCCTATTGGCTGGACTGTCTAGGTTTGGGGAGACTATAAAAGGCCTGCGTGCCTGCTGGGAGTTTGAATGGAGTTGAGGAACGAATAAAGAAATATTTCTTTACAACATGTGTCTTGCTTCAATGCCGCGAACCCAAGAACATAAAAGTGGCGACGAAGGTGGGATCGCTGCAAAGAAGGCAAGAAAAAGAGGGTAAGCCTCATCTGAAGAGCCTGAAGCCTGGGAATCGGCATCCAGCTCTGCACTCACCTGCCAATACAGCATCGCTGGAGGTGAGCTTGGCAAACGGGCCCTTCCCCCCTATGAAGGCTTGCAGCGAGGCTTCCCGAACCTGAAGATGTCGAAGATAGGCTGTTTGTCAGAAGTCAACGTTTCTCACCTGGAGCGCTGGAACTCCTATGTGGTCCAGGTAGAAAAATTACCTAAGGGTTAACCAGGTCCAGGACGACGGCCTGAAAATGGCAACCCTGCTGTGCGTCTGCGGTCAGGACACTTTCGACGTGGCCGAAAACCTGGTAGCCCTTGCACCGCTGGAGTCTGTCACCTACACAGACTTAAAAAATATGCTAAAGGATCACTTCCATCCAAAATTGTCTGTAACTGCATGGAGGCATGCTTTTGAGCAGAGGGACCAGAAGCCGGGTGAGTCGGCTGCAGAATTCATCGCTGCCTTGAGACAAGCTGCTAGGCCTTGTGAATTCAAGGATCTGGAAGAACACTTACGAGACCATTTCGTCTGTGGCCTTAGAAGCAGAGAGCTGCAACAAAAAATCTTTGCTAAAGCTGAAGTCACTTTCCAAGATGTCTTGTGTGAAGTTGCAGCTGAAGAAGCAGCAGGCAGCGCTGTGAAGG